GCTGGTTCCGACAGAGACTCAGGGACTAGCGGTAGAGGATGGGTGGTGATAGGTGGTGGTTGGTTGGCGGGGCGGCTGTGTGGGTGATGGTTTTTAGGGTTTTGGCTCTGATACCATATAATTTAAGAGAATACAAAGCTTTGGTGATGATTATGATATCATCACCTTTTATATTAATCAATCAACTGTTACAAAAGGAAGCCCTAAGGTATTGATTAAGGAATTACAATCAATCAATCAATCACAATCTAATCTAAATGTAGAAATAAGGAAATATTCTAACTAGGAAATATTTTAACATCATGTCTGTTTTTAAAAGCCTTGACCTATTGATGTAGTATAGTGCTGAATTTTGAAAACAGAGGTTGTTTGACGGTCTTAACAGTGAGTAATTTAGGGTTTAAAAGGGTTAAATTGAAGGTTGATACGTACGGGAAGGGATTATGGTTGATTTGGAGGTGATTTGATAGGGTTTTTAGGTTAAAAAATGCACTTTGAGAGGACTGTGAATAGTAATCCAAGAATAGTAAATTGAAATAGAAAAGAAAAAGAAAGAAGGAAATAGGACTTGGAATCATTGCTATAATTCCTTAGGCATGACACTTAGGGTTTGATTGCATCACACAATCCATTAAGTAGCTTCAAACGCTTTTGAAATTTTCTAGAATATCAACTCCATTAAATTATAAGCGTTACATGACTTTATATAGGATTAGGAGACTTCCTAAACCAACTAGAACCAAAAAATGAAACTACTATAATATCTTAGACTTTCAAAACTAATTTAAGACCAAATAAGAAACATAAATAAAACTCAATTAAATAATTTGACCCACAAGATAAAAAACTGAAACTAAAATATCTTTGATTTCTAAAACTAATTTAAGACCAAATAAGAAACAAAAACAAAGACTAATTAAATAACTTGACCCACTAGATGACCCATGGGTAATCCATACAGCCCATGTCAACATATACAAAATTACCAAAATATTCCTTACCTTAAAAATTTTAGAAAACATAAAAATAATAATAAAATAGGAAACTAATAATACTAGAAACATAATTATAGAAGATTTCTATAAGTTTTTTTATGAAATCATGCCAATGTCCAAGTATCATCACTTCTCTAAATTTAAGCTTTCTTGAGCTTCTTATACTCTGCATCATTCTCCCTTGGTTGGAAAAAACTCGACCTCAAGTTTTAAAGTGTTGAAAGTATAAGAATTCATAAGTTTTGAAATTGCATTCATGGCTTCACATTAAAATCTTCAAGTTGGCAACATTGTTTCTTCTTTATTAGAGGTAGCAATGGAAGCAAGAAGATATTTTCAACTCTAAATTTGAATTTTTCGGGAATGACGAAATTAATGGAAGTAGAAGATTGAACCCTTAAATTGATACGAGTGTAGAATTGCAAAATTTTGCCCATCCATTCCATTCTTTTTTGGCTTTGTGATGTATTACTTGCAATCAATTTGAATGCTCTAGCTTGTATCAGTATCAACGATCATGGACTCCAAACTTTCATCCTCCTTTTCAACTAATGCTTCATCATGCAATTCAACATATTCTTGGGGTACTTCTTGTGATGCATCTTCTTGTGGCACTTTAGCCCTTCGTTTATGAATTTTTGTTGGTTTCTCTTGTTAGACAGTTTTTCCATTATGCGCAGGCTTCAAAATTGTAGATTTCTTCCTAAATTTTACAAAAAACTCAACTTGTGTAGCTGTTTCAATAGCATCAAGATCTTTTAAATATGCATGAGACATTTTTGTTTTAATTCCAATTCTCAATCCACTTTGGAAACGAACAATAGTCATCCGTTCACTTTTGATAACTCCAAACTTGATAAATAACTCCCTGTATTGTCTTGCATAATCAATCACACACATATCACCTTGCTCAAGTGTATACAATTGATCAAGAAAATCATCTTGAAGGTCCCTTGGATGAATTTTTTCTCTAAGACGGGTTTTACCCTCTTCCCAAGTCAATCAACTTGTATATGATCTCCCACAAGGTGAAAACATCATAGCGGAACCTTAGGCATTGATACCAAACTCATTTAGGACAATGCTGAATTTAGAAAACAAATGTTATTTGACGGCCTTAACAGCAAGTAATTTAGGGTTTTAAAGGGTTAAATTGAAGGCTAATAGGTAGGAGAAGGGATTAGGTTGATTTGGAGGTGATTGGATAGAGTTTTGAGGTTGAAAAATGCACTTTTAGAGGGCTGTGAATAGTAATCCGAGAATAGTAAATTGAAACAAAAAGGAAAAAGAAAGAAGAAGATAGGCCTAGGAATTACTCCTATAATCCTTTAGGCGTTACACTTAGGGTTTGATTGCATCACGCAATCCATAAAGAAGCTTCAAAAGTTCTTGAAATTTTCTAAAATATCAACTCCATTAAATTATAAGCATTACATGACATTATGTTGGACTAGGAGACTTTGCAAACCAACTAGAACCAAAAAAAGAAAACTACTAAAATATTTTTGATTTCTAAAACTAATTTAAGACCAAATAAGAAACAAAAACAAAGACTAATTAAATAATTTGATCCACTAAACGACCCATGGATGACTCATATAGCCCATGTCAGCAAATATAAAATTATGAAAATACCCCTAACCTTAAAAATTCTTGAAAACATAATAATAATAACAATAAAATAACTCAAATAATACTAGAAACATAATTATAGAAGATTTTTATAATTTTTTCTATGAAATCATGCTAATGTCCAGGTATCATCACTTTTCTGAATTTAGCCTTTCTTGAGCTTCTTATACTTTGTATAACCTATTTTGCTTGGCCTTTTTGACCCCCTCTTGTACTTAAAGTACACCTTCAATATGAATCTGATCACTGATGCCACCTCGATAATTCAAAATATTTATGGTAATCATGTCGATTACAACATACATTGGCATATAGATGGGATTGTGGTTGGTTGTTGGTTGGAGTTGGTTTAGTTAAATACCCAATTCGTGTCATTTGATTCCTGATATGAAGAATGCAAAGAACCTAGGTGTATAGCAGGTCTAGAATGCCTATAAAGTATAAACAACATATTTAAGTGAATGTGTGGTTATTTGGTTATAAAGTATAAACGACATATTTAAGTGCATGTATGGTTATATTTGTAGCTTGCTATTGCTTAATGTATTACAATTCTTTGAGAAGCATGAAATTTGTCTTGTGAGGAAGTTTTAGAAGAATCTTTGGTTCATAGCAAGTCTTGCATGTTCATACAGTGTAGAAGTACTAGCATATGTACCAAATATATTTATGGCTAGCCTTTGATATTTTGTTAAACTTAGGATTGTTGAGTGAGAATCTGTGATCATGGATATCGTGTGGCATATGGATATCACATGAAATGAAACAAATTAGTCCTATGTTATACGGAAAAAAACAAAGAAAAAATGAAATGAATACATCAAGAACACTGCGATTTACATGCACTATGTATGCATTGTATAAATAAATTGAAAAAATAGATATTTTCATAGTATGTACTTGACGAATTATCTTCCATTTTGAATTTATCAAAAATTCAAAATTCCTCACTTGTGATATTAGAATTTACATAAGAAAAATAAGGATTATGTTCTAAGACATGGACTTGGAACCAAACCTGATTTCACATTCTCATTATTATATATATATATATATTTTTTTTTTTCCAGTAAGATAAATTCAATTTTTCTTCTATATGAAGTAATCTAAAAATTTGAAAGTTTGTTTTGTATTTCTCTAACAATCATGCTTAGTTACTATTTACTACACACGACACATTTTGATGTCCAAGATGTGTCAGATGTGTGTCTCATGGTATATGAGGTGTATCAGATACTATTCTAAATTATTGAAAAAGTACTTTTATGTTATTGTTACATTTTTAAAGTACTGGAGATGCTCTCTGTGTTTAGGTTTTGGGTTTATTGATAGCCTAAGATGTATTTGTTAGCATTGGCTTGATGCTCTTTTGTTATAAAATTACCACTATTTATCCAAATATATATATATGGATATGAGACATATAAGACTACCTTGTAGAAGTATTTTTGCTTCATACGTGAGAATGTCGGTTTGACTATGAGGGCAGGCACTTACTATGAATGAAAGAAGCTGACAATGTCAAGAGAAAAGCTCAAGGATGAATTCCTTTTATGTTAGGGAAATGATTTAATGTAGTTATCTAGCCAAATTCTGATATTTTTGTTTAGTTTTGAATGGCCATTGCTTCGTGCAATGGCAGAAAAGCTTAGTTTAAGCATGAAAGTATGGGTTCAGCATTGAGGGCAGTCACTTATGGGTCTGCGTCAGTCCACCTTTAGCAGTCTTCTAGACCAATGGGACTAACACTAGGTTATGGTCTCTTCATTATTTCTCTGTGTTTTCTTTTAGCGATTTTATCAATGGTTTTAGGAGTCAATTTTCAGCCCTGACTGCTGATAGGTTACTGTTATAGACTGAACTTTCTTTTAGAAGGTTTCGACCTGTAATTTTAGGATATGATAGGCCACAAAGCGTGAAGAGGATAAGCATTCTTGATTAAAAAAAGAAAAAAAAAATCAAGTTTTATTTATCCTCTAATTTCAGTATTTGTAGGTTCTTATTGGCATCCATTTAATATGATTCAATCCCTCAACTTAATTGTTGTTTTTCAGGTAATTGACCAATATTATGAAAATTTGTTCACAAGACTTAGAATATTTGTTGATACAACAAATATATGCCACTTTCTGTAAGATGTATCCTTGTTTTCTTTTCCTGACGTTGCCTCTTCCTTGGGTTGGTGTATGTGTGTGTAAATGAATTCTTTGTTATTTATCCAAACAAATCTGAGCATAGCATGGTTGTCATTTCATCATCGTAGTAAAAGTATATGGGGGTGGTGAATTATGTTGTGTTATTCAAGAGTTAGTCAAATTTATGGGGTTATTTTTTTTCTTTTTGTATTCAATGTTAAGTGAAAGTTCTATCCAGGTTGGAGAGAATGATTTGGTCATCATAATGACACATGAACCAAACTGGCTTCTTGATTGGTACTGGAATGACAAAACAGGGAAGAATGTCTCATATCTGATACGTGACTGTTTGAAAGGAAGGTGTAAACTTTGGATGGCTGGGGACTTGCATCATTATATGCGTCATTCGTATGTTCCATCAGATAAGCCAGTTTATGTGCAACATTTACTTGTTAATGGTTGTGGTGGCGCTTTTTTGCATCCCACGCATGTCTTCAGTAATTTCAAGAAATTAGATGAAACTTCCTATGAGAGCAAGGCTGCTTATCCTTCTTTTGAGGATTCAAGCAGGGTAAAGAATCTCTATCTCCTTGCCATTTTCTTTTGTTGTTTCATTGGTGCTATAATATATTGACAGTTTTGATTTTATGATGTGCTGTTAATCTTGCTGCAGATTGCCCTGGGAAACATATTGAAATTTCGAAAGAAAAATTGGCAGTTTGATTTCATTGGTGGCATTATATATTTTATATTGGCCTTTTCTATGTTCCCACTGGTGAGTTTCTCATAAATTCTCTTAGACTCATCATGCCTGGCAGCTGAATTTTATATTGTTTGACTTGAACTTCCCCCTTAAGTTTGTAAAAGTGATGCACTTTCCACCTTGTCCAGGCCTATCCTAGATTAGTGTTGTTTGCTTGCTTTGTTCAATCAATTTCTGTTTTTATGCAAGAAATTTCATACTGGCTTAACTAGAAAGTATATATCAAGTTATTGTTCTACAACGAGATGACTAATTATTTCCCATCCTGTTTCTAGTGTAAGCTAGACCACATCTTGCAGGATGACACATTTTCTGGTCACATGAGGAGCTTCTTTAGAACAGCATGGGATGCTTTTATTTACTTGCTGGGACACTCATATGTATCTTCAGCAGGTGCTTTGCTATTGTTCATAACTGCATTCACGTTTGTCCCCTCCAAGATCTCTCGGAAAAGAAGATTGATAATTGGGATTCTTCATGTTTCTGCACACCTGGCTGCAGCACTTATTCTCATGTTGGTGTTGGAAATAGGTGTTGAGATATGTATCCGGCACAAATTGCTGGCAACTTCAGGTAACTTTTGTGTTCGATGTTTCATTTTAGATTATGAAAATGATAAGGTTTGTGCATTTCCTTATGTGCTCTGTTGTATAGTCATCTGAGCTCGTTTTAGTAGTTTTAATCATAATTTTTTTGTACACTTTTTTCTTTGTGTGTTTTGATATCCTGAAATGGGCGTTGTTGATTAAAAAAAAAAAAATAATAATCCTGAAATGGGCATGCATGTTTATGGTACTGTTAGACACAAACATTTGATGATTTAGTCACAAATATTTAATATATTCCTGTCCCCAAGGGTCGAAATTATCATGCAAGGATGGATCCAAGGGGAGAACAGGAGGGTGACTGCACCCCAAAAAATTTGAAAAAATCCCCATATTATACTAGTAATGAAGAAAATCTCAAAATTATAAAATTTCACACCCTTAAATAGCTATATTGCGAAATTTTAAAAATAGTTTCATTATCGAGTTCTAGCTTGAAAGACACAATCTTTTCCAAATTCTAGAACAATGGACAATATGAGGAATTGACTATTCATTGTCCTTGTTTGTTACCAAACCCTTTTTTTTTTGGGTCCTATGTGTGTATTTTTTTCCCCTTCTGTACATCACAATTTAATTTGTTGATGCCCCTTGTTTTATTATCCATCCTTTGTTTGCTCATCATTTCACGGTAAGATATTGACGATTTTTGACATGACATTCTTAAAAAATGAGTTCATCAAATTTGATGCTACTTATTGAAATATCCTCTTATTGATAAATTAATTAGTCTTGTAATTTTACCTCTTTCAATTGCGCATTAGAATGTTCATTTTGAGCTAAGAAACTTTTCAAGACTGAACTGTGTAAATAGGATAAAAGAATATGTTCCTTGAATTTTTATTTTTATTTTTTTTTAAAATTTTTTTATGTTGAATCTATCCTAGATTTTTTCATATCATAAAAAAAGTGTTGAACACAACTTCAAATGTTTAACTTACTAGATAGAGACATATAGCAATAATTACAATTTTTTTTTTGTAAGTTAATGCAGACAACATAATATACTCTACTCTATAATCATATATTTATACTGAACTATGTTGATAAAGAATGTTTAGTTGATGGTAATGTTATGGTAGAAATTGATATAGTATTTTAAAATTTTGATAAATTTTCTCGATTAGGAATTACATATGCTTTCTTCCCCCCAAAGTTAGAATAATCATGATCCGTCCTTGCTAGCATGGAGCGAAAAGCCTGTTCAGAAGAGGATTGTTAATATGTTTGACTTCTGAAGTACTAGTGATTAAATTTGTTTTGAAAGGAAGCATTAATTCTTGAACCCGGGAGCTTAATCTTAGATTCATTATATGATTGCAGTAACCTAATTTTGGAACCACACATACAATAAATTAGTGAATCAGTTATTTGGTTGTTGAAACTTTATGGATTTAATCATTATGACTACGGTACACTGGTTACTGATGAATAATGTAGATTTTGACTTGAGTTTAATAATTGAAAATTTCATCACAGGTTACCACACTTTATATGAATGGTATCGGTCCGTGGAGAGCGAGCATTTTCCAGACCCAACTGGCCTTCGGGCTCGTATAGAACAATGGACATTTGGTCTTTATCCAGCGTGTATTAAGTATCTCATGTCTGCATTTGATGTTCCCGAGGTGAGAATGTTTTGATGCTTTGGTCCTTTTTCATCTTTTACACTTGAGTGACAGTTGGAGCAATTGTCAGGTAATGGCTGTTACCAGGAATAATATTTGCAAGAATGGGATGGAAGCACTCTCCCGAGGGGGTGCAGTTATATACTATTCATCTGTGTTCCTTTATTTCTGGGTCTTCTCTACTCCTGTTGTGTCCTTGGTGTTTGGAAGCTACTTATACATATGTATTAATTGGCTTCACCTACACTTTGATGAAGCCTTTTCTTCACTTCGCATTGCTAATTACAAGGCTATCACACGCTTCCATATCAACCATGGTGGTGATCTTGAAGTTTACACCCTTGCAGTTGATAAGGTAAGAATCCAATGCTGAGTAATTTTGTGGTCTTGGCTCTAGAAAATGAATTATTTAAAAGTGACAGATGTGTTTTAATTCCCATCGGTTGTATTACTTGTTGGGGAAACACAATTCCAGCTATCATCCCAAGTCTCAAGTTAATGGTTCTCTGTAGAGCCTGCTTAAAGGTTAAGCATGTAGGCTAAGAAGCACATACACTTGACACAATACAGACATGGAAATTTTCAAAATTTGTTGGACACAACACATGGAGGGGCACAGAAAATATGTAGTTTAATATATTTATCATATATCATATATATGAATGTTTAATTCAAAGATACTAACAAAATATAGTTTACCACTAATTTCTAAATCTGAAGGAGGAGAATCGATATAAATTTACTTTTTTTATCATCTGATTCCAAGTTATTTTATTCCAACTTGTAATATGTTTCAAATGTGTATAAATACATGTGTCCTCTAAGTGTCTGAAGCGTATCGGAGTCTAAAACATTTTAAAAAATAGAAGGATGTGTTTGGACTTATGTTCAACAGGTATTGAGAAGTGTCCAATGACTGTTGTGTTGTGTCGGTGTCCGACCCAATATTCTTTACGACATGCCACGTTCTGAGCTCCTTAGTATATAGGGTAGGGGATGTAGTGAGCAAGGCTTTTTCCATTGTTTAAGCATTGTGGTGGAGGCATGATGCAGGGCTATGAAACCAACTGATGGAGGGAAGTGTGTAGAAACAGAATTTGCTGGAGATCACGCAAAATGGTCTATAATTATGTTTAGATTAATATATTCCTAGGATATAAGAACATTCCGAGAACTTACTGATTCTCACATAGAATACTAGGAACCAATGTTGTAAAATCCGTCTGTTATGTACCATACCTGTCACACCCCGGATTTCTAAGATCCAACCCATGTGAATAAATCAATTAACTAACAAGCGAAAAGACATCCATATACAGAAATAAAGGGTAATCTCTCATACATGCTTATATTAACATCATTCACATCATGAGGTAATTCGATTACATACATACTATGTATAGAACAAAATAAAATGCCCTAAGGCTTACAAAACAAGGGTGCAACCCTTTACAAAAAAACGTTCAGCAAACACAAAAGAAGGGCCCAAGGCTTGTAAATCAAAAGAGATCTTCTAGCTTAAGCACGTATCTCAGCGCCTAGCCTCAAGGTCGGGGCACGCCATCAACATCTAAAAAGATTTCAGCCACGTAGGGTGAACATATTGTCTAGTATAGAACATTTAATAAACCAATACAAGTTCACAAGTATAGATGATTATGATGCTATATGTTGAATATAGAAACTAGAATATTATGTTGAATATAGGAATTAGACTAGGAATTAGAATATTTTTATTTTGATTGTAGGAATTTCTTCTTGTTTATATTGTTTCCTAAAATTATATCATGAATATATTATATATACATGGTTTCTATCTCATTCAAGGTAACAATTCAATTCTTTTCATTCTATTTGGTATCAAAGCCAAAGAGAAGAAACCCTAGCCTTCTACTTACATTCTTCCTCTGTCATTCTTCCTTTGTTGGCACTGCCAACATCATTGGCAGCCCCCTTTTCTCCTCTCAAGCCTTCGATAGCCCTACTTATCTCCTCTTCTTCACTCGACAGGGCCCCCTTTCTCCTCTAGACCACCCGACACCCATCACCCATCCTTTCTCTTCCCTCGGCGGGTGTTCTCCACCCTTGTTGAGGCTTCAGTAGGGGTGGAGAAGACCCGCTTAGTTTGCGTTGGGCCTTTCTATGTCAGATTTTTTTGGATATCTTCAGGCCCGCTGGGAAGAATTGGCTCAATATGAGCCCTTGACTGAGTTACTTGCAAATGCTGCCTCTCTTGTGTCCAAATGCCTTGCTTGCTAGCACACCGACCAATTTCTAATGGGTTTAAGTTCTGAGTATGAATCTCTTCGAACTCAGATTTTAAATACATCACCCATGCCATCTCTCTATGAGGCCTTTGCCACCATTGATAGTGATGAACGTCGTAGGTGTCTGATTTAGCCAATTCCTCCTCCTGTGTCTCCTAATATCCCTAATTTACATATGTTACTGACTTAGATTGGTCAGTTTTAGGTTTAGCTTGGATCTCTCATTGCTAGTTCTCATGGCCCATCGTCTTCCATTGCTGCTACACTCGCTACAGGTATTTCTACTGCTTTCCATGTTCAGTCTACTAATCCCTCATGAGTTTTGGATTTTGGGACTAATCATCATATGACGGGTGACTTTTTCTTTCTTTCTTCTCCAGTCCCTACTCCTATTGCCCAATCTGTGTCTGGCTAACGGTTCTTCATCCTCTATTCGTCATAAGGGTGTCGTATCTTTATCACCTACCATTACTTTATCGTCGGTTTTACATGTTCTAAATTTTGCCTATAATCTCTTATCTGTTAGTCGTCTTGCCAAACAATTTAATTGTTTTGTTATCTTCTTACCCTCCTCTTGTCTTTTACAAGACCCGAGTTCGAAGAGGATTTTTGGCAAAGGTTATGAGCGTGATGGGCTTTACTACTTTGGAGATCCACCGGCCCAGCATTCCTCTTCTTCTTTAGTTAGTTTTCAGGCCTTTGTTTTGCCTGTTTCCATGTCTTGTGTTTTTAATATTCAAACTTTAGAATTATGGCATGCTCGTATGGGTCATGTCAATTTTCAATATTTATGTCAACTTTTTCTGTCATTTAATAATGCTTGCAAAGATTCTAAATTTCATTGTGTGGTTTATGAGTTATCTAAGCATACTCGTACTAACTATATGCCTCATATGATTCGTGTTCCTAGTACATTTGATCTTATATATTTTGATGTCTGGGGTCCTTCCCCTGTCACTGCTTTTTTTGGTCATAGGTATTATGTAAATTTTATTGATGATTACACTAGATGCACTTGGGTGATTTATCTACTTCGTCGTAAATTTAACGTGTTTTCCATTTTTATTCAGGTTTTACAAATGGTTAAAACTTAGTTTCATACAGTTGTTAAGAATATTTGTTCTGATAATGGTGGAGAATATATTTCTAATGAATTTTGTTCCCATCTTGATCAAATTGGTATTCTTCAACAACTTACTTGCCCTCGGATCCCTGAACAAAATGGTGTTGCTGAATGAAAAAACTGTCATATTATGTCTGTTGTCCTGTGTCTTTTTCAGGGTTCTTATTGGCATATGACTGTTCTTATTGCTGTTTACCTCATTAATAGGACCCCGAGTCGTGTGTTAAATGGTCTCATTCCGCTTCATATCCTTATGCTCACTTCCACGTTGTTTCCTCTCTTACCTCGCGTCTTTGGGTGTACTCGTTTTGTTCAAAATCGAAGTCCCACTTGCACTAAATTAGATGTCACATCTATTCGTTGTGTCTTCTTAGGCTACTCTTCCATGTCCAAAGGATGTAGGTGTTATGAACCTGTGTCTCACCACTGTCATCACATTTTGTATGTTACTTTTTGTGAGGATCTTTCTTTTTTTTGTACTAACCCTTCTTTGTAGGCTTCTCCTCTTGTTACTTCCACTGTTCTTCTGGTGCCCATTTTGGACGAGGTTGAGGACGAGGTTGTTCCCCTCTCTCTTTCTCCACCTTCGCCTCCTCTCCCACTACAAGTATACTCCCGTCACCCACGCACTCAGGCCCTCCATGCCGCCTCTCCGATCTATAGGCTAGGTAACTCTTCTCCTTTAGCTTCTTTACCTCTTCGTCGTAACCAACCTCGGAATTGACATCCTCCAAATCGTTTGGGTTATTTGAGTAGTACTAATCATCCCATTTCCCAATATCTTTCCTATGACAGCATTTCTAATTCTTACCGTTCTTTCCTTGGCAAGCTTAAGTTGGAGTCCATTCCTCGTTCTGTGTCTGAGGTTCTCTAAAATCCCAAGTGGGTAACGGCTATGTAAACTGAGATGGCAACCTTAGAACAGAATCACACTTGGGATTTTGTACCTTTACCTATTGGGGAAAGCACGGTTAGTTGCAAATAGGTGTTCACTATCAAGTACCTCGCTGATGGCTCCATTGACCATTACAAAGCCCGACTAGTGGCCCAAGGTTTCATATAGATTCCTGGCAAAGATTTTGGTGCCACTTGCCTCTGTCGCCAAGCTTACTTCTGTGCGTCTCCTTATTTCCATTACAGCATCACATTCTTGGCCTCTTCATCAGCTTGATGTCAAGAATGCATTTCCTTATGAGGATCTCCTAGAGACGATTTACATTTTTCCTCCACTCGGTTTTCGGGCTGAGGGGGAGTATTCGGGAAAAATGTGCCAGTTACGGAAATCCTTATATGGTCTAAAAAAGTCTCCACGAGCATGGTTTGGTCGTTTCAGTTCTGTTTTTATATCTATAGGCTTTGTTCAATGCCACTCAGATCACACTTGTTTCATTCGTCGTAATTTTACGGGTCGGGGTAGTCTTGTTAGTCTATGTGGATGATATTATTCTCACATGTGATGACTCTGTCGGTATTGGTCAAGTAAAGGACTTGGGCCAAACTTTTGATATTAAGGATCTGAGATGTCTCAAATATTTTCTGAGAATTGAAGTGGCTCGCTCAAAGGAGGGGATCTCCTTGTCTCAAAGGAAATACACCCTTGACTTGCTTAAGGCTACTCGTATGTTAGGGTGTAAACCTGCTTCTATTCCTATGGATCCCAATGTCAAGCTTACGTCAGAGTTGGTGAGTTACCGGATGACCCAAGCATGCATCAGTGCTTTGTTGGACCCCTCATTTATTTGACTAACATTAGACCTAATTTGACATTTGCGGTTAGTGTTGTGAGTCAGTTTATGCATGCACCTCGTACAGAGCACCTTGACGTGGTTCATCACATATTGAGGTATTTGAAGACTTCTCCTGGCTTAGGATTGTTCTTCACAACTGGTCTTCAATCTAGGTTCTCTTGTTTCGCAGATGTTGACTATGTAGTATTTAGGACAAATCGGCTTTCCACTTCTGGCTTCTGTACTTTCTATGGTGATCATCTTATATCATGGAAAAGTAAGAAGTAAGCAGTTGTTTCTAGATCTTCTGCAGAGGCTGAGTATTGGGCTATGGCACATGAGACATGTTGAGATTCTTTGGCTTCGCTTTATTCTGGCAAAGTTAGGCTTTGAGGAGGCTATTCCTTCCTCTTTATTTTGTGACAACAAATCTGCTATTTTGTTATCCTCTAATTCTGTGCATGAGCATACCAAGTATATCGAGGTTGACATACATTTTATCAGAGAAATTTTTCGGGCTGGTATTGTGTGTCCATCTTTTGTCTTTTCTTCTCAACAGTTAGCAGGCATGTTCACAAAGTCTGTGGGACTAATGTTGCTCCAATCTTTCATTGACAAGTTGCGTTTGTTGAATATCTCCATGTCAGCTTGAGGGGGAGTGTTGAATATAGAAACTAGAATATTATGTTGAATATAAGAACTATAATATTTTTATTTTGATTGTAGGAATCTCTTCTTATTTATATTGTTTCCTAAAATTATATCATAAATATATTATATATACATGGCTTCTACCTTATTCAAGGTAAGCCAATTCAATTCTTTTCATTCTATTCTATATAAATAAAACAATCTGAAAACATTTTGTTTAAATCAAACATTTTCCATCAACAACACTAAGACCCGGTGAATCCTCTCAAGTACATGTATTTGCCAGTGGTCATCGCTAAGCACCACCTAAACCAGTACACTATATGAAGCTACACTCTGCTAGTGATCATCGTGGAGCGTCACCTAACCCACCAAATTTACTGGTGACTAACTGTAGAGATTTAATGTATAAAGAGAAATAGAGAATTGTATTATTGATTGATTTATATTGATTTCTATTACAATGATTCATGATTCCTATATATAGAAGAGGGTGAGTGTGTAGTAGGTAAGGAGTAGGTGAAGTGGAGGTGGTAGTGGTGTAGTGGGTTAGGTTTAGTGGAGTAGGTTTAAGTGGGTGAAGTAGGTGGAGAGTAGGTGGATTTTAACACTAACCGATTGGTGACTAGCAAGGACCTTGGCACCTATACCGCACAGGTTTTCGGTCTTTTACCATGGACTATCAAGCCAAATCAACCAATCTCATCATCACTATACATGACCCAGATGTTCAATTAAAACCATGTTGTTTTAAGAAGACCAATGCAACAATATATATAATTTCTCAAATTATATCTCAATTCAACCTCATCAATCTCAACATTTCAATAACCTTTTACCAATTCCCTAACTCACAAGTTTTAGGTTTTTTTCACAAAATGAGGCTTTCTCAAAATAGAGCTTCCTCATGCAATTTAATATAGCAAAAATAGATTTGATAAGACATAATAGACAAAAATACACCCAAATCACCAAACCCTATCATGATTTTCCAAATCAACGACAGCAACAACGTTAACATGCTAGTTTTGTATTGAAATTACCACAAATACACTAAAGAACTCATATAGAGTCAATGAAATAGAATTTACCTCTTGAAGGGAAGAGGAGAAGGTAAAAGCAACTATAAACGTCCAAATCAACTTTTGGCGGAGATTAAAATGAAGCCTTCACCAAGCTCTATAATACCAGTGTTTAAGTGCAAATGTTCCAAAACCAAGGTTGAAGCCCAAGAAACCAAGGAAAACTCGTAACAGTGGAGAGAGAGAAGAGATAAGGTTCAAAAAAGCTATTTTGCGCACTAAGTTGTATATTTATAGACTAGACCATTGTGGGCTCGAACTCTCCATTGCGGGTGCAATAGACACAATCACGGGCACGAACAAGATGGTCGCGAGTGCGACCAGGCTATTCGTGGGCTCCTCTTGCGGGCGCAACCATTTTCCGTAGGAAAAGTACTACACGATGGTTTTGGTTGCGGGTGCGACTTTTTTTGCAGAGAGAGCGCTGCAGAGGGTATTTGGTCACGACCAAATCGTGGGCGCGATTCACAACCATCGCAGGTGTGATGATGATGATTGTGGGCATGACCATGCAGGCAGAAGGTGCTGACTCTGGTTTTGTAGGACTGTTCTAAGGCAACAAAAGGAGTCCCAACCAAGTGAAAAGACAGAAAAGTAAACAATATTAACAATAGTACAATCCATCCATCTACAAGCCCAAAGGTGTGTCAGGGCTTCCGTACAAGTGGGTTTCAAGTTGGGTTTTAAAACCGGGACATTACAATACTGGCCTGTATGTAACAAATTTTGAACCTACTGAGTCAGATACTCCGCAATCGATACCGTTATGTACCTTGATACCGCTATTTATAACCATGCTAGGAATGAAGCTTCTTTAGACTGTTGATTCACCTCATATACTAGGTAAGCATCAATGCCTTTGTTGATCTGCAGAATATCAACGAGATTGGAATAGGAAGAGAAACCTATTTATATTATTATACCAAAACACACTCGCCAATAACCCTAACCCTGACAAACGTATTTGTGATTATTGAAGACTCCTAATTAGAAGACACATTCGAATATGAAACAACAAATTAGATAATTTCTTGGGTAAACATGAATTAAATAAAGAAAAATAAAGATTTTCCAAAAATAACAAATTAGAGTTAAACTCAAATTTGGATACTAGAAGGTAATACTAACTTTTTAAAACAAACAGTTCCAAAAATCCAAATTGGCAAGTGAAGTTATTGTCAAAACAAAACTTTCCTAAAATAACGACATAAATTGAGAAGCCTGAACAATGAAATTCGGTCAAAAAACAGCTTGGTTCATAGCATGGCTGAGAATTTTGCTCATTCGGCGATTCGAATCGAACAAGGGCATTTCGACGAAATCAAACACCGTTAGCCCAACAACATTGCCAACCAGATAATAAGTGCATTTGACCATAAGTAGCAAACATATTGCTGGGGTAAAGTGGTTATATTTTCTTATTATTTTGTTTTTGTACTATCTCAGTGAGCATTCCCATTAACACCCATTGCCTACCACAAAAAACACAAGTGGCAGGAACAAAAAAAAGAATTAGTTTATCTTGTGATCTGAGAGTAGCAGGAAAACAATAATCATGAATGATCATGAATTAAGTAACCTAGATTTGTGTCGTTTACTAATTAAAAAATAAATAAATAAAAGAAATGGGCATATGGCTATTGTAGTTCCAAGTTTTAAAACTGTTCCCTGAACCATGTAATACGCTGGATCACCTGTAGAACACCATAATTGTCCAGCCAAAGTGGAGGCTTCTGAGGGGCAAAATCAATTATCACCCCCTTTTCCTTGAAAGAAACATGATATTTTAAGTATGAATGAGTTGACACGGTTAGAGGGGTTGGAGAAGATGTGGGAGATAACTGGGGTAACGGAAATGGAGAGAGAGTTATGGTACACAGCCTCCATAAGTCTAAATGTGCACAAGCTCTTCTGATTATCATACAAACTATATCTAATCTGATAAGCTGATTTAGTTACTCCTATTTATCAGGAGGCTTTGAATCTGGTTGAAAACTTTTTTCTAGATATTAATAACCCGTGTGAAAACGCAGGTTCCAAGGGAATGGAAGCTGGATCCACAGTGGGATGGGGAGCCCAGGCAGCCACAGCAGTTGAGCCACCTCAGAAAATTTCCTAGCAAGTGGCGTGCACTTTCCTCAAAGCAGGATCCATTAAATACTGTTCGGATTGTTGATCAGTTTGTTATTAGGCAAACAGGACAACCTAACTTAGGAGCCATCGATAGCTCTGAAATTTGATATTTGTCTGTTTAGGAAGCAATTAGTAGAAAACTGAAAGAAAAGAAATTGTATAAAGTACTCTTGTATGATTCAAAAGAACCCAAAAAAAAAAAAAAAAAGGTAGCATAAAATTGAGGCATGGTGATTATCTGGTTATTCTTTATATTTTCTTCTGTTATGCCGCATGGTTGCATGGAGCTTGGGTATTTTTGCATATTAATTTGATTTTCAAATTGATTTTATGAAATACAAATCTAGTCAAATTTCTAGGGCTGAAAATCTGAATGCAAAATCGCATAAGGAAACAGGGCACTAGCAAATGGGCCTAAAATTTACTGAAATCGATTGCAACTGACAAATGATTAGAATCCATATTGTTCAGCAACTCTGCTTACACATTTGACGACAAGCAGTTACAGAGGTCAATCAGAACATGTCAAGATGTGAAGCATATGTGCCTGCCCGTCAGAAAAATTCGTGACAGTTGCTTCTTTGTTGTATACAGTCAGGAGGAGGGAAAATGGAAAAGGGAAGCAGCATAAGGAGCGGTAATATTTTTAAACTCTATCACCATTCCATTAGCAGGGCGATTTGAGCAACTTTGTTTGCAATCTTAATTCAACCTCTTGTTAAAAGTAGGAAATTACAAGGTGAAAGCATTACAGAAGGCCAATCTCATGAGGTCTGGAGCTCGACTCAAATTCTAGAAAAGGAGAGAAGCTCTAGCCAAGCATTAGTCTTGTTGGATTATCTGAAACCATCGATTGGCTTGCATGTGAAAGGTGTTGTCTGGATGATGGTACAACGGATTTACGGGTACATTTTTTCATGGTTATGCTCTTTTTTTTTTTTCTTTTTTTCTTTTCTTTTCTTTTTTTTTTTGGAGAAACATTTCTTTGTTAAATTACTATGGCTGCTGTGAGTGAAAATCATCATCTTGGGTTACTATGTTTCATCATGGTGATTGTAGTTTTAGATTCTACCTCGTTTGGAAACATGTTATTTTAGTAACTTTTTGGCTTTTTACGAAAAAATGTACAGAAAAGTACAGAGAGATGTGACAATTTATAGTGATTTTTTGGCTAAAAGTGAAAGTTCCCGAACTAGGCAGTGTCATTCTTAGATATCCAATCCTTGCATTAGGGGGTTTCAATTGTTAATTGTGGTCTTATTCCTTGGTGCTTTGGGTCAGGGTTCTTTTGAGAGAGCAATCATCTATTCAATTCTTTATCATTTTCGTTTTTTTCTTCTGAAAAAGGTTTTGGCTTTTGAATTGCATGTACCTTGTGATTTGGGACTGCAATTATGTTCAAAAAGGGTTTTCTGAAGCCAATATCATTGGGAAAGAGAGAAAGGTATTGCAACGCTTGTTGACACAGGTTCAAATAAGGGTAACTTGAGATGTACATTACCTTTTGACATGTTGTCTTTTGGATTCACTTGAAATAGCTTTAATCAAAATGCCTTTCGTGTGGACTCATAAATATGGAGTATCATCATGGTAGAAGAACATTGCAAGGAATGAATGATGTTTCAAATGAGCCAAGTAAAGCGACCCCTTTGATGCCCCTCATTGTTTCTCATCAGAAATGTGAAGCACACCAAAAGGGCACAAAGAGAGGAGCTACTCTCAATGAGCCTACTGAGGGGGCAAAAATGGAAAAGTAATCATGGGAAGATTTTTTTTCTCCTCATTGATCATAATTTATGAGAAAATCTTAAAGTTGACAGTAACTTCCAATTCTTTCATTGATCGAGCTTGCCAATTGTTGAAATTCAGGACAAAAAGGAAAAAGGGTTCTTCGAAGCAGACATGCAAGTTAATGGCATGATTGAACCATCACCTTCTCGACTAGCATTCCCACGTTTCTAGTGATCACAATGAACAATTGTAGACACCAGTCTCTGAGCACATTGAAACTCTTCTTAACCAATAACCTGGTTTACTGTTGTTGTTTTTGGATTGTGTTTTCTAGTTTCATTGCAAGGGTTCATTGTCATTGCTCGTAGAAAGGTTCTTGCTTTTCAATTTGTTTGGGCTCAGTTTTCTTCGTGATGTTTGATTACTTGTTATGATTGTCATTGGAAATTTTGGTCAAATTCGTGTTATCCCTGTTTTTGCCCTGATTTGTGAAGATGGCTTTGAGATGTCTGTTGGAGTCTGATTTTCTTGTAGTTTGGCATTGAGCTTTCCTAATACAGCTCTTCCTTAGCTATGTTCTTCATGTCTTGCATGACTGTTATTCTTTTATGTAGAAGGTGAATTTGTTGTTTTCGAAAAATAAAGGACAAAACAATCATTTCACATCTAATTTCATGGAATTAGAGGGTGTTCCTAATCTCATGTCCCATGGCCATTTCTACACCCAAAAAAAAAAAAAAAAAAAAAAAAAAAAAAAAAAAAAATGTAGACACCTTATTTTGACCGGCCTTAAGACTTAGACAAAAAAAAAAAAAAAAAAAAAAAAAAATTGAAAGAAAGAAGAAGTGTTTCTTGTGTGGCCCACAAGATTGGTAATCCAATCCCATGGGCTATGAACAAAAACAAACAAGGCCTTGAAGACATCTCATCTGTATTGATTGTTTTCTGTTCATACATCATGTTTGGGTTATCTGATTTTTCTTATCACCTAATATTGAAGTTCTTATTTTAGCCTAAAAAATAAAATAAAATAAAATAAGAAAAGCAATTGTACAATTATCAATCAACATTCAGACTTGTTTGCCCTAAAAAAATTGGTAATTCGTTGACCCCATCATCATTTTCTTTGGCTTACAATCTGGGTAAATTAATTGACATAAAAAAAAAACTGCGGCTTAATTCACATTGATGAGCAGAAATGTACAGGAAGAAGCCTAGGGCAACATGAGAAAAATGGGTAGTGCTCAAATGAATGGTGTATAAATGAGAATATGAAAAAAATGGAAAAAGCAAATTAATGTGGCAGCATGAGATGCTTCTTCCTCTGCTGTCAAAATTGTAAGAGCTTTCACTTCTCGTAGCAAAAATTGATTCTAAGGCTGTTATTTACGTCAATCCAATTGCTGTGCTGAAGTAAAAAACGCTACAATTGGTAGTCAACATGGAGGAAGTGCTCGTATGATGTTCCCTCAAGTGCTTTTTGGACACCACCCCAGTTGTCAATTTGCTTTGATAAAGGCCCGCTGTGGATCTTAACCTGCCGACTTGTAAGCTCTCGATATGGCAGCCTCAGAAAATCTTGAACGTCAACAAGTTTCTACACAAGAATTTCAATGAAGATTACGACTCACAGTTGAGCAAAAATTAACTTGATTTGTGTTGAAACTAGTCTTACAGTTCGGTTGTTGACTATATCCTCGTAGTATAGAACAATGTGGCGAGTGCTCTTAAAGTATTCCAAAGCCCTGGTAGTTGTCTTCTCTGCTTGCTTCAGATTGTGTACCAGTATTGAGGCATTGACTTTAGGCTTGTATTTTGCTAGTATTTGAGCCTGCAAGCCATTACTAACTATAAGATTGCATAATAAAACAGAGAGAGAGAGAGAGAGAGAGAGAGAGAGAGAGAGAGAGAGAGAGAGACGTCTTTTGACGAATGCACATGAGACTTGTGGGTTCCATTCAACAGCTTAGCCTGACTGTCATAGACATTAGCAAGCACAGAAATCATTCTGCGGAGTAGATTCCTTCGGAAGAGAAATATTGCAGAGACACCTCTTTCATCGAAATACTCTACTATCTCTTTGGGGTGCTGCATCACTCCCTGCGAAATATGTGCATGATTTAGAGTATTAGAAAAGCTAGAATTTTGAAAATAATCAAATAATATGTTAATTTAGCCCCCAATGTATATTGCAACACTGTTATAGAAACCCACCAACAAAATACCATGGAAATGATGTTACAGTAAGATATGGTGGTTAATACTCCATGCTAGAACCAAATTTAAAATTTTCTCTTCCATGGATGTACCACCGTACGCACTTCTTCAGTTGCATATTATTCACTGGCGAATGCCAAAATGTTGAAATTATTCCCATGGAATTTCATGTCCCTAGTCATTAGGACAGCACGGGGGTGCTGCCACCTTCGTGGGGCCTGAAGTGGCTCTCACCTAGATGTTTATTTTTTAGGGTCCATTAAATAGATCATCCATGCAAAAAATAAGATTAATCGGATATCATTAACTACATGATTGGATAATATTTATCTTAAAAAGATGAAAGTTTATTCCCAAAATCATATTTGTCTATTTTTTTTAAAAGAAAAATATGATCCGAGCATGTAGTTATCGATGTCCATACTTGTCGTTCATCTTGTGGTTACTAATGTCCAAGAAAATTACCATACTTGCCTATCCATCTACAAAATGAACAGCTCGGATCATCATGATAGGACCGAGATGCATCCTATTGTCTCATTAGTAGGATATTTTCCTTCTATTTATCCACAATTTTCATTTAATGTCATTGTTTCCCCATTACTCCTTGAAATCCTCCACCAGCTATTTGAACCGTTTGGAGACCATGTAACGAATTGAACATACTCTTTTTAAGTTTTTATAGGGCAGTTTGACCCGATGGTAAGACTTCCCATTGACATACCTGGTGGCACAGGTTCGAGTCACTTTAACATAAATAAAGGTAACGCTACATATATCTTACCCTCTCGAATCCTGTTTTAGCATAAGTTTCATACATTGTTTTTTAGCTCTTTTTAATTTTCTCAAATGTCTTATGTGGTTTTGGCATCACCAAGAAGTCCCACACAAATTTAACCTGAATGCTTCATTAACTACATGCCAAAATTTTCACTTTCTTTCTTTCGAATATTGTATCTTACTAATAGTTCCTACTCGATCCGTCCCAAAATATTAGTTATTTTTAAAAAATTTAACCTTTTTTGGCAGCACAATTATTACAATTCAAAAATATGAACTTTTCAAAATTACCCTTAGACTTTTTTTTGGGGAACATCAATTGTCATAATTATACATTTTGTATATTAATATTAATGAATTTAAAAGAAGGGCAAAATAAAAAATCTAACTTTTTTTGATAGTACAATTATTACATTTCAAAAATATCAACTTCTGAAAACTACCCTTTGATTTTTTTGAGAACATTAATTGTCATAACTATACTTTTTGTGTATATTAATATTAATAAATTTAAAAGAATGGCAAAATAAGAAATTTTTGTTATTTTAGTTCTTGATTTTTAAAAAATAACTAATATTAGGACAATAAAAAATAGAATAATAAACTAATATTTTGGAATAGAGGAAGTAGTCGTAATATGTCCAGTCTTACTATTATGAACTCCAGATCCCAGCCCAATTGTAACTAATTGGGAAAAAAAGGCCGATTATTTTCGAGAGCATTAGAACATATCACAGGAAGATTCAATTTTCACATAACGTTTCTCTATATAATTGTACAGTATTCTCAACAAGGGTAGAGTATCCCCTGTGCACTTAAAGGACTTTTTGTGGATTTTTTCTTTTGGATTCAACTTCCTTAATCCAACTTTCCATACTTAAAATTAGGAGAAAAGTTAGGAATCATGAAAAATTTTTCATGAAAATAATCATGAAAGATTTCTGACTCTTGGATTACCTTGATTAGTGTGTGGTGCTTTATTTTAAGTGTAATCCAAGGGTCATAAATCTTTCATGATCATTTTCATGAAATTTTTTTCATGATACCTAGCATTGCTCTAAAATTAGGGTATGGAGCCAGATCCCAGCCCAATTGTAACTAATTGGGAAAAAAAGGCCGATTATTTTCGAGAGCATTAGAACATATCACAGGAAGATTCAATTTTCACATAACGTTTCTCTATATAATTGTACAGTATTCTCAACAAGGGTAGAGTATCCCCTGTGCACTTAAAGGGCTTTTTGTGGATTTTTCCTCTTGGATTTTACTTCCTTAATCCAACTTTCCATACTTAAAATTAGGGTATGGAGCCACCATCACAATATTGTATATTGTACATATGAGCTAGTCATAGAGAAGAGCTAAAGTATGAAGTCATCTTCCCTACATGTTTCATGCTTTTAAAACTCAAGGACAATTGATCAGTGAAAACAAAACTTTATTGATGAAAGAGACATAATACATGTAACAGTACATCAACAAAGCAGGAAGTGTAAAAAGTATCATAGCTAACTTTAACAATCCCAACTAAGATAACAAGTTTAGGATAATAACTCATGAAATGTTTAGGATAACAAGTTTCAAAGCAAATGTCCACTAACACAACATGAAGTGAAAGATTCAGGTTCATCCTACCATATTCTTATTTGGGATTAAATTCTTTACAGTTGAACTGTAAACACATCCTACCATATTGTTGTTTGGAATTAGATTCCTTACGGTTGAACCTTAAAACACTAGTTTTACAGCATTCAATTATTAGTTGCCAAATCAATACTTTTAGTACAATTATTTAAAGCTAAAATATACTAATGATTCATCCGTGTAGAATTTAATCTCTTCTTATTTTCTAATGATCCCAAACTAATTGTGGGAAATTAGAGATTCACTACAAAAAAAATTAAGGTTTTACCGACTAAAATTTAGGGACAAAATTATTTTTTAGGAATCAAATATTTTTGTTGCGAAAAGTGTGTTATTTTATATTTTTAACAACAAAAATTGGATATTAGTGATGAATTATTATCTTTTTTGAGACCAAATATTTTATCTCAAAAAATAAACCGTTTCGAGAGCAAATTATTTTATCTCTAAAAACTTTATTATTGACTTTTTGAGACGATCTTTTAACAGCTATCCTCAGGACAATAGAAATTTGTTCCTAAATGTTTTTTGCAACAAAATTTTCACTTTTAAAGACAAAAAAATTTGGTTTCTGAAACTCTTATATGTTGTAGTGATTATGCTTGACATGAGGTGGAAGTACATGACTAAATCATTATTTAAGCAATGTTAAGTTTATAAAACAGAATTCTGAATTCTGAAGCAGCAATATTCACCTGATTAAGCATCCATTTGAACCCTACCGCTGCGGTGCACTCATTCTTGGATGCACTAGTGAAGAAGTCAAGATTGTATACTTTATCCAATGTATTTATAATTGTTGAAACATTTCTTCTCCTCTCTTTTGAAAAGATTTCTCCATTTGAGCTCACATTCATATGACTATTTAACAATGTCTCGAACCATCCGCTCCCGGATCTCTGCATCGACAAGATTGCAAAGAACCGTACTGGATTGCACACGCATTCCTCTCTACAAACCCATCAAACCCACATAATTTAATGATTTTTTTTTAATTTTTAATTTTTTAAAGGGAAAATTATGTGAATAGTGCTTGTAGTTTACACGATATGTCAATTTGGTCATTGTAGTTTCAATTTGCTCGATTTTGTTCCTTAATTTAATAGATTGTACCATTTTAGTCCAATAAATAACGATTGTTAAGTTAATTTAACGGAAAGTCAAACAATGTGTCAATTTGATTCTTGTATTTTTCACAATGTGTTAATTTAGTTTCTGTCAAAATCGAGAAAATTGAAACTACAAAGACCAAATTGACACACAAGAACCAAATTAATACATTGTTTGACTTTCTGTTAAATTAACTTAACAACTGTTATTTATTGGACTAAAATGACACAATCCATTAAATTAAGAGACAAAATCGAACAAATTAAAACTATATACACCAAATTGACATATTATATTGTAGTTTTTGCATAATTTACCGTTTTTTTTTAAACTGAACCCCAGATACAATACAAGAAGAAAACAGAGACAAGAATACTTTCCGGTTACCTGCTGAAGGTTTTAGGTTTTGGGAAATGCACAGGCGGAGTTTCCCATTTTTCGATTCCATTAGCACGACAATGCTGCTCCTCGTCATTCACTCGGACATTTAGAAGTCTGATTTTACTGCTACTGCTTGTTTGTTGTCTTAAGCAAATTAAACAAATGTAAACTCCACAAACCATAGCGAAAAGTAAAACCACCATTCTCAATACCATTGGAGATTTCTTAGGTGCCTTTATAACTAGTTCATCCTGAAATTTAAAGGTTCCCCAGAAGTTAGTTTTCCCGGAAAATGTCCAAAAATGAGACTTATTATATTATGTAGCAGGAAAATAACATCATCAAATTAAGTTAAAATTTTGCAGAAAAAAAGTCAGTCCAGTACAGAGAAACTAACCTGTGGATTCCATCTAAAAATCTCCATTATAAAATCAGAGAAAAATAGAATGAGTAAAAAGAGATTTTTGGGTGTCATTCTGTCTATATGTTTTGAGAAAAATAAGGCAAAGGAAGTGGTCAGACTTTCCGAGCTATAATCTTTAACAGAAAAAGTCAAATAAGAACATAAGCATTTGTTCGACATGTGATGTTTAACAAAGTGAAAAACAAATGTTCTAGAACAAAAAAACTTATGTCATAGCACAAATATAGCTCTCCACTTATCATAAAATTAATTAAAAACAAATATATCTTCTTTTTTTTTTTAAAAAAAAAACATACCCAGAAATTTACTAAACCATAAATATGAAGTACTAAGAGAGACAATGGTTGAAAAACTCACACCTTGTTGAGGAAGCATATGATATCCTCAGCCATTTTTCCTGTGAGAGAGAGAGAGAGAGAGAGGGAATTGGCAATTTGGCAGCTAGTCTCCTTCTTTCTCTCCCATGCACTCTTTTTCTCTTTCTACATGTTGTGAGTTTTAGAGAGAGAGAGAGAGAGAGAGAGAGAAGTCAACAAGAGAAAAGGAAGAAGAGGGTGTGTTGTTTCATGGTTGGAGGTTTTCCACGTGAAGAACAGCGGCATTGTTTATTTACAACCCTACGCTGTCTTTCGCTTCCTGTTTCCTTTACCATTAATTAATTAATAAACAGTATTATTGCTTTGTACGTCAAGACGTGCCATGACATGGCATCGCATTACCCAGAACTGTCAATCCTCTCAGTCTCAGACGTTTAAAACAATATATTAATAGTACTAACGAATACTAGGCTTTGTTCAGACCATATCTCCCAATAAAGGAAATGTTATAATTTTTAAATTTTTTATTAAATAAATAATTAAATATGTCATATAAAATGTAGATTTCACAATCATTTGAAATATTTAGGGGTGATTTGGGATGTTCTAAATAAATGTATTTTTTGACTTTTCATAAAAAGATGTGTAGAAAAGTAGAGAAGAGATGTTGATTGATTTGACTCAAAAAAGATAGACTAAAATAGTGTACGCCAAAAAATCCCTTAGCTATTTATTTAATAGAAAATTCAGTATCCATAGTATTACTCCAAATAAATATGGCCCAAGAGCAATTATACTATGGGGGGGTCTGTTTGGTAGGATAGAATCATGAGATTGAATTTCATGTCCAATGGAATAATTAATCTAATATTTAGATAGAATAATGAAGATTAGATTAATAGTTCGGTCAGCTTAATAGTCCCTCATTTATGGGATAATTCTATCTCATGGGAGTGTTGGATAGAAATAAGCGGATTAAGTCAACTTCTGAATTAGCTAGGTAAATGATGAAATTGTCTCTAAGTACATAATGTTTTTTTAATTTTTTTTTATTAAACATGTTGATTTTTTTTAAACATGTATAAATTAATCTCATAATATATAATTGTTTCTCTTCTTTCTTTTTTTTTTTTTCTGGCTATTAGCAAAATAATAAAAGAAAATATATGTTCAAAATTTAAAAGGAAAATAATATAGAACATATTTTTTCTTCATTTTTAAATTTTTAACATATGTAAATTAATCTCGTGATATACAATATATATATTTTTTCCTATTAGCAAAATTATAAATGAAAATATACTTTTAAGGTGTGTTTGTTTGGATAGACTGGATAAGGAGGAATTGTAATCTATCGGACCGTTAGTCCTAGGATATATTATCCTCAGACTATTTAGTTGGACTGGATTCCTATATTTGTTTAGTAATGAGATTAGATGGCTAGATTGGACTATTTTTAGCGAATCCAATATTTGGTTGAACGGACTGGATACGGATAAATGTTCAAAAGACTATTTTATCCTTGTAATTTATAATTTTTATTTAATATATAATTTTAAATTTGTAATCTATAATTTATAATTTAACAACACTAATTTTTTTTTTAATTTATAAGGCCATAATTTATTATTTTCAATTAAATTAAATTTATAATTTATATTTTTTATTTAATATATAATTTTAAATTAACAACACTAAAAAAATAATTTATAAATGTTCAAAAGACTATTTGACCATTTTTCAATTGTTTATTAAGTAATAGTATGGGGGTAAAATGGACATTTCACACATTAGTCCCATGAGATACCAATCCAATGAAAATAATTCCACTTCTCCACCTAGGATACAATAATCCCTCATATGAGGGGCTAATAGTCCGAATGGACTATTAATCCGGAACAAAAAAATTGAACCAAACAATGGACTATTAGTCCCGATGGACTAATAGTCCAATCCCATAAAATAATCCCTTAAAACAAACACACTCCTAATGTCTTATTTAAATAAAATTAAAAGTAGTCTTAGGCCTCGTTTGGGAACAGGCTAATTTAGTTACTTTTTGGCTATTTGACTAAAATATGAGCTAAAAAAAAACTAGTATGTTTGGGATGACTTTTTGACTTTTTACGAAAAGATGTGCAAAAAGTAGAGAGAAAAGAGAATCTTTGACTTTCTGGTATGGGTTGTTAGCTTTTTAGTTTTTTAGTGATTTTTTGGCTTTTTGGTTAAAAAAAGCCACTTGCCAAACGAGGCCTTAGTAAAATAAAATAAAACTTACTTTATTTAGCATTGTCATTGTAAACAATTTAAAAAGAAAAAAAATGCTCTTTGAAGTTATATTTTTTCATAATTTTCAAATCAAACATGAGATTCACTAAAATAGTCATTTCCAAACATCTAATCTCATTAAAAAACATAGTATTACTATAGAAAAAGGGATATGGTGGCGTTTTTTTAATGACGTTTTTTTGAACGTCACTTTTATTAACATTTAACGGCGTTTTTTAAACGTCGCATATTCCTTTAAACAAAACAACACCATTTTATAATAGAAGGTGTTTAAAAACGCCTCCGAATTTGTTAGCCTCACGCCCCTCCTCTCTCCTTCTGTTTTGAAACCCTTATTTTGAATCTGAGATGTTATACGCACAGATCTCCAGTGAGCGATCTCTCTCTCTCTCTCTCTCTCAACCCTTTCATTCTCAGAGCCCATTTTGAAGCTGAGAATGATTGTTAAAGCCTTTTGTAAACCCTTATTTTGAATCCTCACGCCTTCAAATCGCGCCTCTCTCTTGCTCACCCCCAATTGCTTCTAAACCCTTGAGAGCGATTTCGATTCAAAGCCATTTTCTTTGAGATTCAGATTCATACAGGTTCATCTTTGAGATTTAGAGTGATTTCGATTTCATTTCAGAGCGATTCCGATTTTGAAGATCTTTCTCTCGATTTCAAAGCTCCACCGTCTCTCTCTCTCTAGATCTGATTTCATCTTTGGCTGTGCTTGATTTCTCAGAGATTCATCTTTGAGATTCAGAGATTCAGATCGGTCTCATAGATCTCAAAGCAATTTCGATTTTGAAGTTCTCTCTCTCGATTTCGAAGCTCCATTGCGACCACCATCTGCACCGCCACCACCATTTGTACCAGCGAGGTATTGATTTCTCTCTCTCTCTCTCTCTCTCTCTCTCTCTCTCTCTCTCTCTCTCGGTTCTTCTTCTGTAATTTGTGAGAAGCAGCCATGTCGCCTTTTGCTACAGCTTTTGGTGTGTAAGAGAGAGCCACGTCTCCATATTTTCTCAATCTATTATCTTAGAATTCTTTGTTCCTCTCTCAAACTCTTACAACCCATCTCTCTTTACGGCAATTGACGGTGTCAAACACTCTCACTTTAGGCCACCACCATCACTGGTAACAAAACTTCCATTCTTTTTCATAATTGTTGAGATTTTTTCCCCCAACTTTTGTTTTCCATATTAATACGAATTATTTCTTGTCTATTTTCTGGGACATGTTTTGGTAAGCTCTGCTTCCAGGCTTTTCATCTTCAATTGATGCCCTTGATCATCATTAAAGCTTATTTGAGATCAGAAATGTCCTTGTTAGTGATAGCACTAGAGGTCCTTTCATCAACTCAACCTCTCTACTATTGAAATAGGTATCAAATGAATTTTTTCTTTCTTTACAACAATTTTCTTGTTATTTGTTTATTTATTTCTTCTTTGTATGGTTTGTCCATCTTCTTGGTGATTTGTTTTCTAAAAGTAAGTATTATTATTATTATTTTTTTGTTAAGTTCAAGTTAAGATTTTCGTTTTGTTGTTTTTATAGCTCTGCAATTCCGGTATAATATTGGACCTACGGCGAGGGAAAGTGATTTTCAATCTTTGTAGAGTAAAGGCATCTTCTTCTTTTTTATTTTATCTCTCTCTTTTTTTTTTCTTTTTTCTTTTTTAATGCGTTCCTTGTTTATCCCTTTTTCTTCTTCTTTTTCTTCTTTTTTTTTTTTTCGCTTGCATGCTTAATTTTCTTTCTTGCTTTTTTTTTTATTATTTATTTATTTATTTATTTATTTGCCATGTTTGCCAATGTATATAATATTATTACATTTTTGGGTTTTTTTTTTGGTTGTTGTTGCTTATTTATCTATTCTATTATGTACCTTATTTTGTTTTTGTTTTTTTTTTTTTCCTTTTTTACTTGATTGAGTTTTTGTTATAGTTTTCTTAGAAAGTTTTATGTGATTCATGGAGAAATGTCCCAGGAAGTTAGAATTTGTAACTCTTGCAATTTATAAGTTCATATGTGTAATCCATTGTGTTTGAAGGTGCTTACTATTTTTGTTTCATTTCAATGTGAGGCAATTGTTTGTTTATGACATTAAAAATGGCAACAATTCTGTTCGATAAAACTAATATCATCATTCAAGTCCTTCAGTCTTCGTGAACAAAGTGTCTGGCAACCACAGTAATCCCGCAGAACATCAATCGGTTCCATCTTTTTGTTTTTGCTCAGTGCAAATCTTAATGTTCTTTGATAGTTGACTCCAACATTAGGATTTTGTAGAGATAATTGGCGATTTTTTGGATAAATATAGGATGATTTTGCTTTGTTTTGTTTTGTTTTGTTTTGTTTTTTTGATATTTTCAAAATTTTTAGTTTGTTTCTCTATTTTAGGTTCAGAAAAGTTAAGAGCTTTGGTGGTAATGTGATGGTCAGAGTAACTAAATAACAACAATGAGCTCTTCTTTCTTTGAGGGTAACTCTCTACTTATTATTGAAAGTTTTTGGTTTATGTTTTTTTATTTTAAAAAAATTAGTTATCTTTTATATTTGTCATATTTGTAAGTTGAACGCTTAAATTTTTTGTTGGATTTTGGGTGATGAGTTCACAAAGTTTAAGATTTGTAATTTGTACGGATCTTTACTTATTTGGACATTATGGGAA